CTTGGGTTTGAAAAGTCTCCCCCCCCCCCCCCACAGAAATAACTCTTTACTCGCACTTGGGTGCTTCTAACGTATCACAAAATGCATCGAGCAACATCTAAAATGAAATGAAGGAAGTCATTGTTTATTTCCCTCACCAGCTGCGTTGGACGTGAGGAAGCAAAAAGATCTGAGCGGTTTCTACAGACATCTTCTCAACCAGACAGTCGGAGAGGAAGCCATCCCGGAACGCTTGGCCAACAAGTACGTCTGTCTGTGTCTTCAGCAACACACCGTAGCTTTTAGATATATACACACACACACACACACACACTCTTTTACATTCTTTTGTGCGGGCTCTTGTGCAGAAGTGAGAAGTCAGACGACGGGAAGCTTCCAGACACAACCCAAGAGAGAGACATCACCCCAAGTCCCGGAAGCGACGGAGAGGAAGCTCGCGAGAAGCAGCCTGGTTTCAGCAAGACGCCCTCCTCTTCGCATTCCAAACGCCATTACAGACGCAGGTCAGCATCGTCGGGAAGCGACGGCGAGCGGGACGCGCGCGGGAAGCGAGAGCCGGAGGACGAGCGGAGGGACCGAGACGGCCAGAGTCAAAGAAGCAGACGCCGAGACGGACCGAGGGAAAAAGACGGCGAGGGGAAGTCGCGCAAAGACTCGGTGGGAGAGGAAGAGAAGCCGAGGAAGGAGGAAGGCCAAACGCAGGAGACCAAAGTCGGCAAGTTTGCCAAACGTTCCGACGAGCAGACCCTAAGCTCAGCCAGAGATCGATACCTCGCCCGCCAGATGGCGCGCTCGGCCTCCAAGAGCTACATCGAACGCGATGACGACTGACGGGGAGCGCCGCCCCCGTCCGCCAATCGAGCAACAATACGACGACCCGCTGTACGAGTGCGCTGCCCGTGAATCTTGTCAAAATGGCAACTTGTCTACATTGTATCAGGAAGTAAAATCAACATCGACAACATCAATATTGCCTCGTCTGGTATGAATGACCTCATCCACGAGCTGCCATTTTAGGGCATTTTCAACACCCTCGTGCTGCTGTGGCCAACGAATGCATTGATACCAAAGAATTGAAAGAATACCTTTTTCACCAGGGGGGAGGTTATTGCCCCCCCCCCCCATTTCATATTCGGCAGTTGGCTGCAGAAACTGAAGCCGTTCCTCCCCACGGACTCAAAACAGCCGCTCACATTTTGAAAACGGGGGCACGGATGTCATCTGCTGGCGGTTGTTTCCGAGATCATTCAATTCATATTGCACAAACGGAATAATCTGAACGTCTGCACGGACCACCAAGTGCACTGGGACTGCAAACAAACATTTCTGAATTTCCATCCCAATCGCAAAGGGGAAATTTCAAATTGACACTGCAGAAAATTGGCAAAAAAGATGCGCAGAATAAATGCGCGTTTGCATCTCAACGCTTTGTTTTCAACAAAGCAAAAATGTCATTGTCGAGGCTGAAATCCAATTTTAAGTGAAACAAGGTCTCTAAACTACGAATTGATCATACAAATAGTTTAATAGCGTTCATCAATTAACGGTCTTCAATAATTGACGGTGTGCAGAAGCATTTAGGCGGAATCGTTTGGGGCCGAAATGGCAGCAAAAGCAAGTCAACGTGGCAAGCGGAGTAAATCTCCCAGCGTGTAATTGGGGAAGTAAAAAACAAAAACAGGACTTGGTTTCCACACATTTTTATTCCCTCGTACTCAAGCTCGGACAAGGCACGTCGCAGAAAAAGCTTCCAAACCTTGCCTCACCGAAGCCGCCCCGACTCGATCAGCCGCGGCTTCCGTCTCCAGCGCGGCCGTCACCGCTCGCTCTGCCGTCGCCAATCTGCGCCGGAGAAAAGTCGCACTGACTCAAATGGTCAGCAGCCCAACAACACCCTCGGAAGCACATTTCGCTCGCGTTCAGAAGAGCAAGTGTCACCACTGAGCATCTGCCGGTAATTCCAGCCGTTTCACTCGAGATTTCATCACGACGCGCCAACGGTCGCTCAATCACCCGCGACGCTCACCTGACGACGTCTTGCGCTCCTCGGGAGCAAACGGTCGCAAGCGACACCGTTTCCTTTTGCATCCGTCACATGGGCTCGCTCGACATCAAATGTGACTCTCTGCATTTGCGCAGCTGAGGAGGAGATGACTTTTGGTCTTCAGGAACCTGAAGAAAAGCAACTACTGAAAACCGTCCACACAATCACAGCGTCCATCTCAAGTGCGCACGCCATTCCATCGTTCAGAAAACAGGCGAGTCACCACTAAACATCTGCCGGTAATTCCAGCTGTTTCAGTTGCCATTTCATCACAACGAGTTTGAAGCCGTGAAAACATCAAGTTTGAAATACCTTCTGGATCGAAATCCGGTAGCTCCAAAAACAAATGGCTTTGTGGAACGTTTTCCATCCGGACACGTGACCTGCCGGGAGGTCAAAAGAGAAGGGTTTTTTTTTCCCAGGCGACAATACGATGGCCAGCGCGTATAAATTGCCGTCGCCATGGCGATTCAGAATAGTGATTAAGAAACTTCGTCAGTTGTCGCATCGAACGGCACTTCCCATTCACACTTTTCATCACGACCACGTGCGCGTCACTTGACTCGAGAGCAAAAAGGCTCACCTCAACTTTCGCCGCCAGCCTCAAACACGGTTTTGTCGAACGGGGCCACGCGACGCTTCACGAGCCCACCTGAAAACAAACACGTGAAATTAATCTTCGCCATACCTTCGTCGACGCGTGTCCATACCTGGGACGGATTGCGTATTATGAGACGACAGAAGCAAACGCTCACGTTTGCGTCGCTTTCCACCGTCGAGGCCACGCGGTCGCATTGGGTCGCCAAACTCGTCACTTCGGCAAGCGAAGCGCAATACGGTATTGAACTCGCACAACCAACCGCGACGTTGGACTAGCAATAGCATTTCCTTGTCGGTGGAAGTTACTCTTTGCTACTTTCTCCATTTCCTTCTTTCGGAAGTTAATCGCCTTCGCCGGCACGTGCCGAGAGTCGCGCAGCCCAAGTGGAAAAGACCGAAGAGCGCCGAACGCCCTCCTTAAATACCTCGAGTCGCATGCCTATGGCGTCACCGTCGCGTTCCGCCGTCGGGGCAGAAAAAGCCAATTTATTTGAGCGGATTCTCGGAGCATACATACGTTGGCGTTTATGCCTAAAATTGGATGTCGTTTGTGAAAATAAAGCTTGATTACGATTGCAACAATTTTGACAGCACTCCGTTTTCCTCGTCGAGCGTTTGTGATGAAAGCGTTCCCAGGGAAGTCTTTGCCGGGCTGGATTCGATCCACCTGAATTCACGTAATTCCAGATACGCCGAAAGGGTCCAGTCTTTTCAAAGTCGCCTTCCTTCCGCGCGACTTCACTCCGCGTCCGCGGTCGGCGCCCTCATCATCCCGGGGGCCGGGATTCGGCGAGGCCACGCGGCGGCGCGGTTTGTTTGCCAACTGCAACAAATGAATTGATTTGATCGCGAGGCGAGTCTGCTGACTTGATTTTGTGCCGTCGGCTGCTCTGCTTTTGTCTTCTCTGAAAACTTTTTCGCCCTCACATCTCGGAACACTTTCTTTTCATCTTCTTCCTTACCGGCCGGCCGCCAGCTTCAGGTAAACTTTTGTTTTCTGAGCAATTCCGTCATGCTTTCTTGTGATTTCTCTCTTTCGTTGCCGCTCGCCTCCCGAAACGTTCTATACGCCACCATGACTGGAAGCAATCCGGCAATGTTTTGTTTTTTTTTCCTCGAGAGGAAGGCATTTCTCAAAGGTGGGGGTCAGGGGTCAGCTGGTTAGACCGAATCCCGAATGCTCAGTCATTGGCAAACTTTGCAATAAATGTGTCGTTCGGCCACATTTCTGTGCAAAGCGACCTGCTGCGCCCGAGTTTGTAGGTGGATCCGCTGCGGCGTCCGCCATCATGTTGCCTCCTGACAAGAACGACAGGATCATAACACGCCCGCCCAAGGTGACACACGCAGACGGCCACGATGCAACGGCAATACGAGATAACAACGACATAACCTGACAGCAATCGTCTCGCCTTAGTGCTGCAGTCCCAAGGCGGCGCTGCAGACCAAAGAGGTCTTCCATTCTCGGGTGAAGGCCGCGCGTCAGACGCTCAAGGAAGACGCCGTCGGGTGAGCTCAAAAGGTCACGGCGCTCACGCTTTGGACATCCGCCGCAAGACGCGTAGCCTGCGGCCCCCGAGATTCTTTCGTTTGGCACCGAGGAAGACAACAACAAAAACCTCCTGAAATCAACTCGTTGAGAGAACGCAAAGAGCGAGGAGCCTCGTAGAGAAGCGGCGCCGCGCGTTGCAGGTGGGACACGGCGGGCCAGGAGCGCTTCAAGTGCATCGCCTCCACAGGAGCTCAAGGTGAGGGAGGGGCCTCCAAATCCGACCCGCTCCGTTTTTGTGCGCGTGCCGCCCGCAGCCATCATCGCGGTGTTCGACTTGAGCAGAGAAAGCTCCTTAGCGCGTGCCAGGTGAGTGAGCGGCACTCGCGGCCGGCTTTGCCCCACGCGCGAGGCGCACGGAGCCGCCGCATTTGCGCATCGTCGAGGGCGTGCGTGCATACGAACTGCTTTCACGGGGCTCGCGTGAACGCGATGTTGGCTCATCGTCGGTCGTGGTGACGGCCACCTGACCGACCGCGCCGCTGCCTAGTAAGGAAGCAAAGACGAGAAAGGGCTTTTGAGCACGCGAGGTGGCTGTCCGACAGGAGCGGCCAAAACATGTCGACTGTGCGTGCGCAGGCAGTGGCTGGAGGACGCCATGAAGGACGACGACCCCTCCGGGGTTCTTCTCTTCCTGGTGGGCACCAAGAAGGACCTCAGCGTGGGTGAAGACAAAAGCCAAATTCCACTGCGACCGGGTGGCGCCCAGGCTCCTCGCGCCATCTCGTTTTGTCGCCGTCAGTCTCCGGAGCGGCTGGCTCGGGTCCAACGGGAAGCCGCCCGAACGTCGGAGGAGATCCGGGCCGAGTATTGGGCGGTTTCGGCCGAGTCGGGTGCGGCGTATTTCTCGCCCGAGCCGTCGACGCGACGTACCAATAAAGGTCATTGCTTGTCGGCCGCGGGGGACGGCGTGAGAGACCTGTTCCTGCGCGTGGCCGCGCTGAGCTTCGAGGCCGACGTCCTGCGCCGGCCGGAGAAGAGCGCGGCCGGGAACGCCGCCGACGTCGTCGGTGAGTCGCGTCGTTACGCTCGCCCGACGACGAAGCGAGCCAAACGAGCCGCGTACCCTCGGAAGTGACGTGAAGAAATGATCCAAGCGCGGACGTGGATTTGGCCGCGTCAACGGCCGTCCAACTCCGCCTTTTCTCTTTGCTTCATCGAGGACAGCGCGGGCCATCTTACGCACGCAACGGTGAGGCGATGGGCTTATTTATGCGCGTGTCAAAGACGTGCGCGGTGCGGACTTGTAAGATTCCAACAGGGAGGGGGGCGGGGAAAAAAAACCAGTTGTCTTTATTTTTCCACACAAAGGTTCGCTCTCCCGGCGGGCGTGAGCAGGAGCCGTCATTGTCGAGCGCAGATGTTTTCTGGCCGCGACCCCCCGCCCCCTCCCCATCCCGCCCTTGCCACGAGCAAACTAAAAGCGACGCAAAGCGCGGAGCAACTTGCCTGACAGACAGCAGGTCCATTTTGTACACGCAGAGAAGAACGCCGTGCGGCATGCCGGCACGGCCGAATAAGGTGAGTCACGGTAGCGGAAAGGGGCCGCGGGGGCCGCCGCCCCCTCCTGGGCGCAGTACCGGGAC